TGGTTGATTATCTCCTTTCTTGTTGGTCTGAGTTCTCGTGCTTATATAATAATGAGACCTTCAAGAAAAAGAAGTCTCTTTGGGACAACAGAGCTACAGCCCAGTCCTGAGAGCAATGGAGCTGCCTACAACGAAAGACCAGTGTGGGCTCACGTCAGGTGAAAGTCTGTCTTCTAAGTAGGAATCACAAACCTGGCAAAGCACCATACAACTCCAGGGCCGTGGCCTGCTACCAGCTCTTTCACTGTTTTTATTAAACCTTCAAAGGAGAAGCTCAGCAGACCAGGTGAAGTCAGTCATACGGCTCTAAAACACAAGCCTTTTTTCTTTTTTTTTAAATTTTGATGAACATTTATAAAGATTTTGGATTTCCATTCATTGTTGCATTTTTCTCCCTGCCCACCCCTACCCCGACCAGTTCACTCTTCTCTTTGAAAAGTAAAAGAAAATGCCTTCATTGGTATACAATCCATCCCCTCATCCCCACCCCCGAGTACACTCCACTATGCAAACTTCATTCTAGACTCTTATGATAACCATAATACCCAATCATATATCGCTTTTAAACTGTTCTCTCTCTCATCTGTTTCAATGCAGTATACATAATTTATCCAGTTTTTCTCAGTCTCACCCCGACCCTGATGTCAGTCCCTTTCTACAACAGTGGCATTATGCGGTATTTGTCCTTTTGTGACTGAGATAATTCACTCACCTTAATGTCCTCCAGGGTCACCCATTTTGAATAATATTGCATGAGTTCCTTGTTTTTGAATGCAGCATAGTATTCCATTGTGTGAATATACCACAACTTCTCTATCCATTCGTTTGTTGATGGGCACTTAGCTTTTTTCCAAGCCCTTTTTGACTAGATTTCAACCCAAGGAATCTGCTCCAGCACTGGAAGACTCACTGGCTGTGAGGTTTTCTGAGAGGCTTATAACAGATCAGAGCCCTATCTCTACCAGGATTCCCATGCTAATTCTCACTACACTCACTACATTAAAGCCATTGGGAGAGCTAACTAGGATAATAATGCCCATGTGAAATGCAAGTTTATTTCTTACAGATGTTACAGCAGAGGCAGTGAATGATATATTCTATTGATTGGATGGGGCCAGAGTTGAATTTATGCCAATGTATTTATTATGTATATAACTTATGCCAGAATTTTCCATTTACTTCATTGTCATAGACCATTGTTGTTGCTAGAAGCTGTTGAGCCAAGTACAACTCATAACAACCATTTGAACAGCAGATATGAACCCTATCCTATCCTGTGCCATCCTTATCATTTCCAACACACTTGAGCCTATTTTCACTGTCAGTGTATCAATTCATCTCATTGACAGTCTTCTTTTTTGCTGACTCCCATGTTTCCAAGCATGATGTCCCTTTCCAGGGAATGGCCTCTCCTAACAATATGCCCAATGTATGTAAGACAAAGCTTAATTATCCTTGCCTCCAAGAAGCACTCTTGTTGTACTTTCTCCAAGACACATCTGTTTGTCCTTTTGACAGTCCAAGGTAGATTCAGTACTCTTCTCCAACACTAGAGTTTAAAGGCATCAATTCTTCCGTCTGTCATGCTTACTCATTGTCCTGCACTCAGATGCATAGCAGGTTATTGGGAAAACTATGACTTGAATTGGGCACACTTTAGTCTTTAGACTGACATCATCACTCTCCAGGACTTTGGAGAGATTCCTGAAAGTAAACATTCCTCATGCTTTATGCCTTTTAATCCCCTAATAACTGGTACCAAGGGTGGTATTACTTCCTACCACTATCATGGACTTTTAACTATTTTCCTTCTCCATCTAATAGTGATTGTTGCATATATTTTTATATTGTTATCTGGCCAATATTATTTTATCGTGTTTCTGTTATGTTGTTGTACCATCAAGTCAGATCAACTCATAGTCTACCCTCTAACAGATTTTTAGATGCTGTATATCACAAGGGAGGAGTTTGTCCATCTTGCTCCCACAGAGCAGTTGCTGGAATTGAACTGTGTGCCTTTGGGTTAACAGCACAGGTCTTTAACACTAAGCCACCAGAGTTCCCTTTTTATAATAGATTCTGTGTATTAATTCATGTAATTTAAACCTCTTTGTTCCACTCAATTACTTTTGTCTTGAATTCTAATGTAGCTGACACTACTCTTACCACTTCTGGGTTCTTTTTGGTCACATTTGCTTGATGCATCTTTGTATATCCTTTTGTTTATAACTTCTCTGATATTTTTGTTCATTTTCCTGTTTGTAAGTGGCTTGCTGTTGGATTTTGTTTTCTGATCTAATTTTAAATTATTTATAATTTGGTTTGATTGTTGTTATTGTTGTTGTTAGGTACTGGCAATTTGAGTATGACTCATAACAACCCTATAAACAAAAGATCTGAATCCTTGCCTGTCCTATGCCACTGTCTTTATTGCTGACATTCTTGAGCCCATTGCTGCAATCACTGCATTAATCCATCTCTTTGAGAATCCTCCTCTCTCTCACTAACCCTCCACCTTTCCAAGCATATCTGCATTTCCAAGGACTAGACTCACACCCAAAGTATGTGGGACAAGTTTCACCATCCTTGCCTTTAATGAGCATTCTGGCTTCACTTTTCCCAAGACATATATCTGTTTATTCTTTTAGCAGTCAATGGGATAGCAAGTACTCTTCTCCAACACCAGAATTCAAAGGCATACATTCTTCTTCTGTCATTCTTATTCATTTCCAGCTCTCAGATGCAGCGCAAGTTACTGAAAAGACCATAGCCTGCATCTGGTGCACCTTTGTCTTCAAACTGACATCATTGCTCTCCAATAATTTGGAGATGCCCCTCATAGTGCACATAGCTAATGCAATACATATCCTTTTTCCTGGCTGCTGGTACCAAGGGTGTGGTTTGTAGATCCAAGTGACATAAAATAGTTGACAACTGCAATTTTTCTCCATCTATCATGATGCTGTTTATTTGTCCAGTGGTGAGACTTTTGTTTTCTTGATGTTGAGACATAATCCATGTTGAAGTCTATAGTCTTTACTTTTCTGCAGCAAGCATTTCAAGTTCTCCAAGCAAGATTGTGTCATCTTATCATGCAGGTGGCTGATGAGTCTTCCTTCAAAGGAAGGATGCCGCATTCTTCTTCCTGAATGATTTGTTTGGTCAGCATACAGATTTAATAGAAATGGAGACAGGATACAGCCATGATACACATCTTTCTTGACCACATGCAATGTTTCCTTGCTGTGTTAAGACAACAGCTTCTTACTCTAGGAATAGGATTCTAGTATTCTCTGCTTTCAACCAAGATCCATGTGACATCAGCAATTATTATCTCTGATGCCACGGCCTTTTCTAAGCTTGGATGTTGGTAGTTCTCTGTTTATGTACTGTACACTCTAGCTTGCTTTTTTTTAATGATCTTCAGCAATATTTTGCTTGCATATGATATTAATTACACTATTCAATAATTTCCACATTCTGTTGGATCACTTTCCATGGGAAAGGGGGCAAGTATGGATCCCTTCCAGTCAGTCAATCAGGCAGCTGTCCTCCAAATTTCCTGTCAAAGACTGGTGAGCACATCCAAAGTTGCATCTGTTATTTGAAACGTATCACTTGGTATCTCATCTAGTCTTGGGACCTTCCTTTTTGCTTTTTGAATGCAGCTTGAATATCTGTTTTCATTCCCATTCCCATTGGCTCTTGTCCATATGGAACTTCCTAAAATCCTTCAGTGTCAACCAGTTCTTTTTGGTATAGTGACTCTGTGTATTCCTTCCATCTTCTTTTGACACTTCCTCATCATTGAAGATTTTTGCCCATAGAATCTCCCAATATTAGAACTCAAGGCTTGTTTTTGTTTTTCATTTCTTTCAGCTTGAGGAATGCCAAGCGAGTTTTCCCTTTTTATTCTCCAACTCCAGCTCTTTGCACTTTCTGTAATAATGCTTTGCTCTGTCTCTCAAGCTGCCCTATGAAATCTTCTGTTCAGTTCTTTTACTTCAGTACCACTTCCTTTTGTTTTGACTTGCCAATGCTCTAATGCAATTTTCAGAGTCTCTATTGATATCCGTTTTGGTTTTTTCTTTCACCTCTGTCTTTGTAAGGACCTTTTGCTGTCTTCATGTAATGATATCTTTGATATTGTTCCATAATTCCTAAAATCTTCAATCACTGGTATTCAGTGCTTCAAACCTGCTCTTAAGATAATTTATTTTTTATGAAGATGATTTTTAAATTCATTTGGGATAGACTTGAGGGCATATTATGGTTCTTGGGAACTTGTTTTCATTTTCTTCAGCTTCAATTTGAACTTGCAATCCAGGCCAGGTGCTGACTGTGGCACAGACCATCATTTATTCATTAGCTCTGAAAGAAAAGGCCATTTTGTTTACATTTACGATTGAAACTGAGAATAAATGTAGCCATTTGTTAGCCAACTAAAATATATTTAATTGTAAAATCAAAACCAAATATAATTAGAGATTTTTTAAATTGTATTTCCAGGATCTTTTGAGACTTCTATTAATCCAGAGCAGTGGAAAGGATATGATAAAATACAAACACAAGAGAATGTCATGAACCAGGAAAAGGAGGACCAAGCCCAAGAGTTTAGGAATCCTGAAGAATTAAGTTCATTCAATAAGCTAATTCTTGTTAAGTGTTGTAAAGAAGAAAAGGTAGGGAAGGAATTTTAGTATTATAGTGAAATATATGTTGGCCCCCAAAATGCCCTTCTAATGACTTTTAATGTATAACTTGGACATATATTTACATATTGTGTAACCATCGGCATTAAAACTTTTCAAAAAAATTTTCAACAGCCAGCACTCCCTCAGCAGAAACTCTCATTCCTTCTCCCTTCCCCCAGGCCCTGGTAACCACTAATCTATTTTGTTGCTATGCTTTTGCTAAATTCTGGTGATATCATATCACATGTTAAGCTGCTAACTGAGAGATTTCTGGTTCAAATCCACCAGCTGCTCCAAGGTAGAAAAAGAAGCAATCTCCTTTGTAATGATTTATAACCTTGGAAACACATGGGAAGGGCACCATACTTGAAACTGGCTTAATGACACTGAGTTTGAAGTTCTACATTTGCCTATTCTAGATAATTCATAGAAGTGAGATAATATTTGTTCATTTTTCATCTGTCAGCATAATGTCTTCAGGGTTCATTCGTGTTGTAACATATATCAGAACTTCATTTCTCTTTATGTTTACATAATATTGATGTATACACAGGACATATATACTACATTTTGTCTATCTATTCAAGTGTTGCTGAACACTTGAGTAATTTCCACCCTTTGGCTATTATGGATATTGCTGCTCTAAACGTTGGCATAAACATTTTCTGTTTGAATATTTGTGTTCAAGGCTTTGCATACATACCTAAGAGTGGAATTGCTGGGTCACATGGTAATTCCACATTTAACTTTTTGAAGAAACACCAAAGCACTTACCAGAAATGTATCCTTTTACTCCAAGAATTGTTTTTTGTTTAAGGATTGTACTTTTATTTTTACTAGAACTCAGCGTGCCAGTTATGATTCATACATTTGTTAGACTTACTTGTTTAGAATGCACCGATGGCAAGTTTGTAAGTCTTGTGTTATTACTAGAATGTCACATCTTGTACCAAGAATGATGAAAGAAAGGACTACTGAACCAGCCAGGGAGCTGGAAATATCTTGGAGAGAATGAGTTTAACAGAAGATATATTTTGTGCACATTTATTTTAAAAATATTTGAAATCATTAAGAGCTTGACAATATGAGAGAGAATGTGGCATCAGGACTGGAGGAAAGTTCATCAACAATCTGCATTATGACAACAAATGTCATACAAATGGTGCTGGCAAAACTGGAGTACAACCTGCAGAAACCTGAAGCAGGAAGCATAGCTCTCACAATACACAAAAATCAACTCAAGGTGAATCAAAGATCTAGGGGTAAAGCCTAAGACCATAAAAACCATTAAAAAGGCAAAGGTGAAGCCAAGCGTCAAAGATTTAGCTCATGGTATAAAGAAACTGGCAAATACAGAAATGGAGAGGAAAAATTGATGAATGAAAACTGCTAAAGATTAAATCCCTGTGTGAATCAAAAGCTTCTTCTAGCAGTGTGAAAAGAAAACCTATTCATAGAGGGAAAAAGAAAACATTTGGCAATACCATCTCAGACAAGGGCCATATAACAAAAGTTTACAGAATACTACAGGGCCTCTGACAACAACAATAAAAAAGGACTGATAATTACAAAATAAGCAAAAGACATGGAAAAACTTTTCACATAGGAAGGCGTTCACATGGCCAACAGACACATGAAGAACTTCTCAAAAATCATTGGCAATAAAAGAAATGCAAATCAAAACCACAATGAAATACAATCTCACTCCAGTGAGCAATTCCAGGGCTGTTTGTTGAAATATGTCAACTGATATTCCATCAATTCCTATGGCCTTCGACTTCCTCCTTCATCATCATTGCCTTTTGAACATAAGTTGTTTCATTAAATACTTCTGTGTCAACCAGTTATTTTGGGTACAGTGACTCTGTGTACTCCTACCATCTTCTTTGGATGCTTCCTGAATCATTCAATATTATGCCCATAACATCCTTAAGAATTACAACTCCAGGCTTGAATTTGTTCTTTAGTTCCTTCAGCTTAAGAAATGCCAAGCCCATTTGAGTTTCTAACTCTACTCTTTGAACATTTCATTATAATGTTTTGCTTTGTCTTCTTGAGCTGCTCTTTGAAATCGTTTATTCAGCACCTTAACTTCTTGATTCTTTCCCTTTGCCTTAGCTTCAGTGTTGTAATGCAATATTCAGTCTCTACTAATAGCCATCTCAGTCTTTCCTTCATCCTTTGTCTTTATAATGACCTTTTGCATTCTTCATGGATAATATTTTTTTCTAGCCTCCCACAACTCATCTGCCCTTTGCTCATTAGTGTCCAAGGCCTCAAATCTGTTCTTCAGATGGTTTTAACTCAGTACATTGACAGATAACTACCAGATATGCAATCCAGCCATGGCACTAGGGACATCGTCACCAACGTCAGATGGATCTTGGCTAAAATCACAGAGTACCAGAGGAATGTCTATCTGTGTTCCCATTTACTATGCAAAGGCATTTGACTGTGTGGCTCACAACAAATTGCAGCTAACTTTGAGAAGAAAAGAAATCCCAGGACACCTAATTGTGCTCATGCAAAACCCATACTTGGGCCAGGAGGAAGTCATCAGAACAGAGCAAGGAAATACTCCAAGGTTCAAAAATCAGAAGAAGAGTATATCTTCATCCCTTTTCAATCTGTATGCAGAACAGATCTTTTTTTTAATTAATTTTAATGAACATTTACAGAGATTTTGGATTTCCATTCATTCATTGTTACACTTTTCTCACTGCCTACCCCTCCCCCCTCAGTTTGCTCTTCTCTTTGAAAAGTAAAAGAAAAAATCCTTTATTGGTATACAATCTCCCCGACCCCAATCCTGAGTACCCTCAACTAGGCAACCTTCATTCTGAACTCATGTGATAACCATAATACCCTATCATAACCAGACATTTGAGAAACTGAATTTTATGAGGAGGAATGTGACATCAGGATTGGAGGAAGACTCATCAACAACCTGTGTTATACAGATGACACAATCTTACTTACTGAAACTGAGGAAGACCCAAAGCATATGCTGCAGAGGCTCAAGGACTGTAATCTCTAATATGGATTTAAGCTCAACATCAAGAAAATGAAGCTTCTCACCACTGGGCCAATTGACACCATCATGATAGATGGAGAAGAGATTGAGATTGTTAATTATTTCCATTTGTTCAGTTCCACAATCAACACTCTTGGTGCCAGCCATCAGGAAATCAAAAGACAAATTGCATTAGGGAAATCAGCTGTCAGGGATCTCTCCAGAGTGCTGAAGAGCAAGGATGTCAGTTTAGAGACTAAGGTATGCCTGACGCAGACCATGATCTGTTGAACAGTGACCAAGAATAACAGAAGAATTAATGCCTTTGAGTTGTGGTTCTGGAGATGAATATTGAACACACACCATAGATTGCCAAGAGAATTAACAGGTCTGACCTGGAGGGGGTGAAACCCAGCTTCTCTTCGAAGGCAAAGATTTTTTAGACTTTGTCTCACATAATTTGGGCATGGAACCAGACGGACCAGTCTTTGGAGAAGGATATTGTGCTTGGAATGGTCAAGGACAGTACAGGAAAGGAAGACGCTGGATGAGATGGATTGACACAGTAACTGGAGTAACAAGGGTAGGTGTGTCAGAGACAAGAGATTGGCTCAGGATAGAGCAGAGTTCAGGGCTATTGTGTGTTGGGATTCTATGAGTTGTAATTGACTCAACAGCATGAACGGGAGTGATTGTTAATTTTAAACCATGCATTGTTCCCTTGCTCTGTTCACATAACAGCTTCTTGGTCTAGGTATAAGTTTTGCATGAGCATAAATAAATGTTCAAGCATTCTCATTCTTCCCAACATCATCAATAGAAGGCAACAATATGAAAGATGGAAAATAGATTAAAGCTGTAAAGAATTTAATTTTACTTGGATCCACAGTCAAACCTATGGGGTTAACAATTAAGAAATCAAAAGTCGAGTTGCGCTGGGAGAACCTACTGTCAAGAACCTCTTTAAAGTGCTAAAGATTTTAAAATCCAACTCCATACAATGCTCCACCGCCACTGCTGCGACATAGTCGTTGCACCAGCACCACACTCCCGACAGTTCCGCCACAATGTAGGACATGAACAAGTACAGCAACACAGAAGAGTTCACAGAGGGAGCCAAGATCAACACAAGCAGGAATCAGCAGGATGATGATAAAATGTTTATTGGAGGCTTGAGCTTGAATACAAGCAAGAAAGATCTGATTGAGTATTTTTCTCAATTTGGAGAGGTGGTAGACTGCACAATCAAAACAGATCCAGTCACTGGATGGTCAAGAGGATTTGGAGTTGTACTTTTCGAAGATGCTACTAGGGTTGATAAGGTTTTGTAACTGAAAAAAAAAAAAAACAAACTGAAACTGGATGGCAAATTGATAGACCCCAAAAGAGCTAAAGCTTTAAAAGGGAAGGAACAAAAAAAGAAAGAAAGAAAGAAAAAGGTTTCTGTAGGTGGATTGAGCCCAAATACTTCTGAAGAGCAAATTAAAGAATATTGTGGTGTTATTGGAGAGATTTAAAATATTGAACTTCCTATGGATGCAAAAACAAATGAAAGAAGATGATTTTGTTTTATTGCATATACAAATGAAGAGCCAGTAATGAAATTGTTAGAGAGCACATATCATCAAATTAGTTCTGGGAAGTGTGAAATCAAAGTTGCACAACCAAAGAGTTACATAGGCAGCAACAGCAACAAAGAAAGGAGGAAGAGGTGCTGTAGCTGCTGGGTGAGGTGGTAGTAGGGCTCATGGATGAGGCCAACAGAGCACGTATGGCAAGGCATCTTGAGAAGGTGGCAATCATAAAAAAAAAAAAACAATTACCAGCCATACTAAAGAAAAGTGACTGGTAAAAATAGGAGGTGATACTAAAGTGACCCATCATGCAAGACAACATTGAAGATTGATCTTCAGTTGATCTCAGATTGATTATTTTATAAAAGACTTTCTAGTGAACAAGAAACAATTTTGTTCAACTGTATATAGCTACCTATTAGTTTTGTTTTTACTTTATCCTTTGCTATCTGTGTTTTAACTAGATGTGGATTTATGTTTATATAAATTTTATTTGTATGATTTCTTATTAAACCTCCAATAATGTTTTCTTATGTGATTGTTAAAAAAAAAATAAAGTGCTAAAGAGAAATGATGTTAGTTTAAAGCCTAAGGTATGGAATAGCAGAGTCATGATCATTGGGCCTGTCACTAGTTCCCAAAAAGTCAGAAAAAGTCAATAAGAGAAGGAGAGACAACATGGGGAGATAGTATTTGAAGTCAAGTTAGCTAATGAATAGGACCTAAGAAATAACTGGGGATTGGAATCATAGGAAGGTGCTTTTTTCTGTTTTATTTTGTTTGGCTATTTTTTTCTGTGAAGGAGAGATAATAGAGCCTAATTGTATGAGGATATAGAGTTCAAGATGGAATTATACATAAATGATGCAAAAGAATGGGACAGAAAGGGAGGGCAGGAAGATGGCAGGCTTAAAGACAGATGGCATTCATCCAGTGGCTCATCTAGCTCTGTGAAGTCTTAAGAACCATAGATGTCAGCAGATAATACATTTGCAAATCCACTAAATTGTGTCAATAAGAAATACACCCAACCAAGAGAGGATGAATGAATATAGATGTACATGTAACACCCTTTAAGAAGTGAAGGAGTCCCTCTGCCTGGGGCGAGCCATTGCGGCCCTCTGCCTGGGGTGGGCTGCCCTCGGCCTTCTGCCCAGGGCGAGCCGTCGTGGCCTTCTGCCGGGGGCGGGCTGCGCTTGGCCCCCGGCTTGGGGCGAACCGTCGCGGCCCTCAGGAGCAAGAAGGCAAGCAGCTGTAGCCCAAGACCACCAGTAAGGTGATAAAGCGTCCTCCCTTCCCCCCTTTATATCTACGCCCCTGTTCAGCATGAAGAAGCCAGAGAGTCAGCATCCAGTTCCCAAATCAATAAGACAGTTGGCTTAACTACTATTGGAAAATGCTTGTCATTCCTCTGTAGCATCTGGTCCCCACTGGACCCTCATCATTT